AAATAAAGCACATAACTGACATTTTAATTGCAAATGCAGAAAGTTTAGTGTGAAGTAATAGTCTTCGAATTTCACTTAGCAGTTTTTGTGGATAGCATTCATCCACTTTACAGGGCAAAATCACTTAATAACCTAATGCTTGGAACCACTGTATTACAGAACTGTTACACCTTTGCCAGTTCATGCCATTACTCACATGAAGTATATACGGTTTACAATAGGAAAAGAAACACCTAACACTGCCTTTCTTCATATTAACTGCTCTAGCTTTCTGGCTCTCATACAATGTTTTGCCTCATCTGTCAGCTGTCGCAGCATTCATGTTTAAATAAATGCAAAGAATTTCTATTCTGTGAATCAGTATGATGACAAGACTGGATTGCGTAGTTTAAGTCTACGGAATGAACCAAATGATTACTATCAAGAAATCTAATTACTGAGTCATCAAATATGCGAGATGCCAAAAACTACATGAGGCAGAGTACAAATAGTCTACTCAAGTTTGACAGAAGACTCAGAATTTGATTTAAAAGCTTTTTTTTTAATAAAAAAAATGTGTTATACATTCTTTTGCCAAAGTCAATACCAAGTGCAGCAGTCAGTTTTCCCAAATGGTTTGCTAAGACATTTAAATAGTTTGACAAAATTATCTAATTCACTTGAAAATGTTCTAACAAAATCTGACTTCATTACCAAATGTATTTACACTGGCTTTATGCAATATAGAGAGTATTTTTTCAAATCTACTATGGAGTGCAGGATAGACTAAATAATTTTAACCGTTAATAGTATTAACTTATATTGATATTAATTAACCTAAAAGTGTATGACAGAAGTATTTTGGCATTCAGAGATTGGCTCGTCATGATCCAGTTTAAATATATATATATATATATAATTTCGGGTAGTGAAGTGTTATTTTAGCATTTCTGGTAGCATTTGTCATGCATAATGTCTAACTCAGTTTCATTTTTCCCAGTGCAAAAATAGTAGCTTTTGATTTGTAGCAGTATGAATATTGAAACACAAATTTTAGTATTGAATTCTAGATGCAGCTAAAAATGTACCTAGTTTCATTTATTAACCAGCTGTGCAGATCCACTTATCCCAATTTAACATATTTAGTGTGATAAATTATCAGCTTAAATGAAACTGATAGGACCAAAGTTAAATGTGTTTGAGTGGTGGCACCAAACTAGGGATTTGCACCAAATTAGCTTAATGACTTAACAAGGTCACTTTGTAGGATCTGAACAGAGTCCTTCTCTATGTGACTGTGAGGCCCTCAGTCGCAGGGGTCGTCGGTAACACACGGCACTTATGCTCTCCAGAAAGGCTGGGGTACTGACGAATGATAACTTCACCTGGAAGATGATGTGTCTCCAAGGAGAAGGAAAGGAAAACTAGATTTTATGTTTCCGCGGTAAGTTAGGGCATTTCTGCTATGTAAACACATTGGTAAATAATGAACTAGTGACATTAAGACACTGATGATGTTTGTAGGTGATGACTGATGAGAACTCTGAATCCAGACTTATAATTATGGTGAGTCTTTAACGTAAAGGATTAAGAAAGCAAGGTTAGAGGAAAAAGCTCACATAGGCTCTTTCCTGGCCCAGGCTTCTCACCAGCAAACTGCAAACTGTTCAAAGTGTTTTCCAGGCCCCATGAAGAGCCACTTATCCATATACAATCACAAGCAACAGGACTTAAAAACAATCAAATGAAAAGAGACATTTTAATGAGGTTGCTCAGACATTAGGATTTTTGTTTGCTTGCTTGTTAGCACCTGTTAATACAAATACCACAGAAATACTTCTCTGTGAAGAGATCTCTGTTTAGCCCTTCACATAGGGCCTCCCTTCTAGCTCAGCCAGGGAACACCAGATTTGAAACTGCTGATATTTTTAAAGTAGAAACCAATATGCAGGATAAAATCTTGTGTGCTGATTCTTATTCTTAGAACGTGAGATGGGACTAGACTCATCTTGTAGCTTTTATGAGTTTCACTGTTGCTTGCACGTGGGTAGGCTTCTGGAGCATGACTGTTTCGTGGGATAATATTTAAGAAATTGGCCCAAATCCAATGAAAGAGTTGTGACAGTTTGCTAAGAATAGATTATACTATCTCCTTGAATAAGAGTCCCTGTCCAGATTTAGGCATAATCTTTTGTACCAGTTCTTATTACTCTTGAGTATTTTGTTCATCTTGAAGATCTTGAGGTTTGTGAGTGAATTGAATAGGCCTCCTGCTAGGATATTTGTAGGAAACTAAATTCTACTCTCTAGAAACACTCTGGAGAAATCAATACCTCCAGAGTTTTAATAGCAGTTCTTGGGACCAAAAAGATACATCCTTCATTCACTGTGGCTTCCACAGGAGAGGACTCTTCATTTATAACAGAACACACAAGTCAGAGTTTTTAGTCTTTCTTTCAAAAGCTCTAAAACCAATAACAAGAAACAGATATCTCTGACAGCTGAAAACATTTTCAATGGAGGAAGCCAAGAACCCATCATAATTTATCTCAGTGTTACGGATCTGAGCACGCAAAAGGGGCATCAGTACATCTGTCCAGAGAAAGAACAATGTACAGGTGTGGAGCTGGGGCTCATGTAACAAAGAAAAGCAGTAATTAAAAACATCTGGCTTCAAATCCCAAGTCATTTATCTCATTGTAGAAAATGTGATCAGAATTCATTTATAATCACGTCCAGATAGGCCTATACATTTTTTTTTCTCTTAAAGCAAAATTAGCGTTAGAATGG